GAAAAAGTTGAGAAATAAGGCTGCAGATAGGCAGATTGCTCCTCTGTACCACATCAAGCATAGACACCCTCCTCAGGCTTCCTCCATGATTACTGCTGGATCGGATTCACTGGTGTGACTGCATCACACAGCTCTCTATGAATCTAACCTATCAAGCCAGAACATGACAGAGCAGCTGGGATGTACCCATGAATCTAGCCTGTTATTTGTATGTTGGTCAGATGTTACAGCCTGTTTAAATCATGTCCAAGATCTTCAGACTAACAGATGGGCTCATGTCACTGTGCTGTGTAACTCATTCAATTCAATATTCTTATTTACAGTTTGGAGGGTGGTTCTCTGTGGAACACATAAAAGATGATTCGGGGCTGGGAAGTGCTGGAGGGCAGAGCAGAGTAAATGATGCCTACCAGCATGGCTTGTAATGCTCCAGCCACTCACAGGTGTTGAAAAGAGAAAATTATTAGCTTTCATAGTTTATGTGCAGCACTCCTGTCACACTGGGGACAGGTGGCCACATCTGTCTGCAACCATAACACTATACACATAACACCATAACACACTCCTGTATTCAGTGACTTACTGGTACTTTCACTCTTCTTTCTGCTGCAGAGACTGCCCTGTCAAATTTCACCCATTCTTTCTCTCTAAGTTAGTACTATCTGCCTTGTCTTTACTGAATGTCTTCTTACTGGTTCCAACCATTTCCTTAATTTATCCAGATGACCAAATTAGGATACATTAGGAAAATGAACATGAAGAAACATTGTCATAGCTCCTGCCATAGCTTTCAGGGGAGTTTGGTCCTAGGAGGAAGAAGCAGAACTTTAAAGGTGTGTGAGGCAAGGCCAGAAAGAGAACTAAAGGCTTCCCAAGACTGCTTTTTTCAGTTTCTCATCCTCTAGTTTATAAACATCCAAAAAAATCAGCTACAGTCCATAATGGACAATCTTTTCCCTTTCAATATTGAAATCATATGCCAAGTTACCCAGGTGGTTTGGGTGCTCTGGACTTCTGGATTTCCCCAGCCACTCTCAAAGCCCTTCTATCCTCAGTGGCAAATCCACTGCCTTGCCAAATTTATGGCTAACCTTTTTTCTATTCCTGGCCTTCCTGCAGTATCTTAAGAAATAATAACCTGTTCTTCAGCGTAACCATTTCTAAGATACTCATGGCCCTATAATCCTTTTAAGAAACAGTCCCAATGGCTTTTGCTGAAAACTGAGTTTTTCTTTTAAAGGAACAATTTCACCATTCATTACAGACAACTTTATAATAGGATTTTTTTCTGAATTGCACCTCATATTCCCTAAGTATATATTAAAACCAATTACCCAATAACTATATTTTAAACTACACCAAATTCTTTCTATGGAAGAAACTGCACAGCTATTGAAAAGTAATTATAGTTACTGCTAACTTGATCTTTAGTTTAGATCTCATTTAAATGAACTTGATTTTTTGTTTAATTAAAGGATTTTTTTCAGATTCTTCTCTTTTGTGCTGCAAGATGTATTCTAAGGAATTTCCACAAAAATCTAGAACAGTTTTGGAGTAATAGCTACTTGCAAGAGTGAATTTCTAGTAATTAACTTCTGGAGTATAGTATAACTACTTTATGCAAAATGCAGTTTTGGTATTCATTTCAGTGACAGAACAAAATAACCTTTAAACAGTCCTTCTGTCAAGATCTTGCAATATTTTATCTGTAATGCAGGCAGAAGTGCAAAACTTGTGGAATGAAAACTTGGTCATTCTGGATACAGCAAAAAATTTTGGCTACGAAGTTGTTGACACCTTTGTCATCACCATGGGACGTTACAAAGAATTCCTGCAAGGGAAGTGTGGCTGCCATTTCCATGAGGTAATAGTGTATGCTCATATCATTTCCAGGGATTTAAGAGAGATTTTAACTGTCAGGTGCTTAGAAGCAAAAAGGTGTGCAACAAGGTTGGGTTCCATGACTCAACGTTAAGCCTGAATAAAACCAATGGAGATAGCAGTTGGTAGGGCAGCACTTGTCCTCACTGCTCAGGGTGTCACACCACCCAGGACAGGCTGAACTTCTGTAGTGGGGATTCCTTGAAATAAAAACAAGCATGCTTTTCTGCGAAGATAATCGGTACAAAAGGTTTTTGCATGGTTTTCAGGTTCCTATATGGTTTGCTATGTGTTTTATGTCCTTACTGCTTCTCCACGGACTCAGTTTATTTCTTTGTCATACCTCAGTCTTACAGGTTTATGTCTGAAGCGTCTCTAACTGAGCAGCTCAGCAGATTCCCACCAAACCATAGATACATTAAAAATGGATCTTTAAATTGAAAGACCAATCTTACTGCTGTATATCTGTTTTCACATGTCTGAGAAAGGGTTATCGGGGATAGTTACAGTGACTGACTATGCAAAGAGTTGTACAGTTAAAGTGTAAGTTCCTTATTCTCACTCACACCCATAGTTCTGTTTTCTTTTTTGTCTGAAATATGTAGAAATTCTGTCTTCTGTTTTAAAATTGCTGGACTGGTGAAACGGGGACACGGTAAAGTATATGAGTAGAGAAACAGAACATATTCTTCTGTTCATCAGAAGTTCTAGTAAAGAATCTTCACAATATATTACAAATGACAGGAGTCTGTGGATTATATAAAAAAATAATAAGCAAACACCTTATTGTATCTAGGCACAAAGTCAGCACAGAGGCTGCTAAACCAGTGGAAGTAAAGAGTTTGAGACACAAGGTATTTAAAGGTTTTCTGGTTTCCTTTAAGGTGTATTTTGAGTATGTGGTATGCCTTTTTAGAGTGAGAGCTCTTCCCCCTGTGCAAAGGAGACATCTGTTTTAGTTTTAGATTTCTTGTACTTTATGCATAGCAAATGAAGAACTGCACTTCTGCTGCAGGTGACCCTCAATGCAAGCACAGAGTTCAATTTTTGAGGAGTCAAGTAAGCAGATGTCCTCTGCCATAAGGCTGATGGCAGTAATATGATAGTTGAAGAACTGTCACCAAGGCCACCAGACCATTCCTGTAGCTTCCATCCAAATCGTTCCTCATACCCATGAGGAACCTTTTGGTACTTCTATAGATAAATCATGTTTAGCTCAGTAAGAAATTCCCTGTGATGCTACAAGGATCTTCATTCTTATGAACTGAATCTCGCTTGTCTGTTTAACAAAACACTAGAAAACTATCAGAATTTATTGCAAACTGTTTAGAACCATAAAACTGGAGGTGTCGTCATACCATTCAGGAAGATTGCTCTTCCTCTGCCTGGTCAGAAGAGAGATAACAGGTGCAAGTTCTTCCATAGAATGAAATATAGAATGAAACACAAAATGAGAAGAATTGTTACCAAAAAGTAAAACTGGAGGGAAAAAAAGGTTGCAAGGAAAGATGTGTTTTTGAAACCAAGAATTAATTACTTCATGGTGTTTCACAGTCAGCTTAGAGCTTTTAGAGAGTAAGAAGCTGCTGGTTGGAAGAAATGTCAGAAGTCTGGTTACGGACTACAATAATGACACAAGCAATATGTGTTTCAAAGACAGAAGCCCACAACTCAGTTCTTAAAGAGAGAAGGTTAGGCTTTTTTTAATTAGAGTTACCAAAAGTGCATAAAAAGACCATGATGCACATCAGTGAAATGCTAGCATGTTTCCAGCATTAATTTAGGCCTTTGTTTTCTGTCAAAACAAATTACTTCAAATAAGAGAGACCACCAAACTTTTTCTGAATCTCTCAAAAGGATAAATCCCTTTGCTTATTTTGCCAAGTCATACCAATTTTTCTCTAAGCCTCACTCTTGGACAAGCTGGGTCCCAGGACCTGGACCTGTAGGGTTAGCACAGAAATTCCATAGAGCTTCATAGGTACAAAGGTGGGCTGTGTCACCAGGAATGAAGTGGAAACCAATTTTTGCTGTGAGGAAATGCCAGGACAGCTGTGATATATTTTCCTTAAAGATCAAAAAAACCCAAAGATATAAGAATAAGGTTTCCTTCATCAGACACCCACAGTACACACTGGAAAACAAAATAGACTGTGGCTAATTAAACCTAGGAGGAGTGTAAATAACAAGCTGAAATTCAGTGGTGGTGATAGTAAAATTCAAGCATAGGCTCCCAAGTGTCTTTATGGTCTCTGCTGACCAAGGACTAGTATAAGAAGCCTAACTGTTTTCCTGCAGCCAGTGGGTTATATTTAATTCTCTCAGGCACTGCAGTCACCTTTATATATAGCAGAATTAAAAAATTAGTACCTATAAGGCTTTGATTTTTCTCCTTAAATACACAGACAGAGATATAATATCAGATACAGTCTATGGGATGATGAATGTGTTCCCAAAGAGAGTGGGGAGACAATGAGCTGCTACTGGTTGGAGCTCTGTTCTGGTCTGGTGCTCACTGGAGGGCATTTGGGAGCATTATCAGTCATCCGATCTCATGTGCTGTGTGTCAGCCTCACAGCTGGTTTCCAACTCAGGCTCCTCAGCAGCTCACATGTTTTTAGTCCATTGCCATGGCCTCTGTCCTGCTTTGGGACTAAACACAGCAAGTGTGGTTAGTTAGCCAGTCCTGTAATCTACTCTGCCCAGTAAATGAGAGAGGCACGAACACAACTCAGTCCAAATGGAGCAGAGAAAGAGTAAGTCACAGGGCGGGTATTTATGGCATGGATAAGTAGTCCCATGGAGCAAGTGCCTCCCTCCATTTCACCCAGATGGCTATATTGACCCTTTTTTGTCTAGAATCCAGATGTTGCTGTCTTCATGGGTCATGGCTGATGCTTGCCATTTCCACAGAGCTTTAGAGTGAAATGAAGAGCTTCAAAGTGAAATATTTCAGATCCTCTGTATGGAACAGGGTGGAAAAAAGCAGAATGTGATTGGTCATCAGCATTTTTCATGCACTCCTCCATCATTTTCTATGAGCTTATGTGCATATTTGGCTTTGCTTCTCTGCCTGGGAGAAGCAACAGAGACTATGTTTCTGGAGAGGATCAGGGGAAAAATTGGCTCATGGAGCTTTGATAATCTGGCTTGAGAAGCCATTGTGCCTGAAAGATGCATAGATGTGCCCAGGAGAATCCATCAGCCCCCAAAACCCAGACTTGATCCTTGGGGAAAGGAAAAAGAAAGTCCTTAATGCTTTTGATGCCTCATTAGTTCTAACAGTTTTGTCATCAGTTTATTTCTGCATCCTGGCAAGTGAGTTTCATGAGGTGCCAAAGTAGTTTGCACTAGGAAAATGGTCTGTTGCCTCCAAGAACACTGTGTAAAACCTCAGATTTTTTCACATTTTATGAAACCAGATGAGATGGATTAAATCTATTGCTTTGTAATTTCACTTTCTCTTAAACAGTAACCTCCTAGACTCCCAGACGACAGCATCTGTCTGTAAATGCCATCTAAGCTAAATCACAGTTGTGCAGGAATGGAGGGATGACTGTTCTGTGTAGTCAGAAAACAAGAAATAAATGCATTCAGTAGTTCTCATTTAGTCGTCACTAGCTGGTCAAACAGAAAGTTTATTCCTCTGATTGTCCTGATAAATTGAGTTCCCACCAACCCACTTCAGAGGACCTCGAGTCACCCTGGTAGCACAGAAATCTGCAGCTCTGTAAACCCTACAGTCTTCCCTCAGATTGCCAAGGGATCTGAACTCTCAAAGGGATTTGATCAACCTGGGACAAAAAATTCTTGCATAACTCTGGAACTTTTTGCCCAAACATATTTCTAGTTCCATGCACACAGACATACCTGATTTTTTAATTACCTCATTCTTCACAAATGCTATGGAGAAGTAGATTGGCCAGCAGTTATAAAGAATTCTATGGAACCTATTTTTTAATTCAGATTTATTTCCCAATGTAATGGCACCTAAATCATGTTCACAGCATAGAGACTAGCAACCTTGGGATTTTGGTATCTTAATCAGTGGCTGGCTGCTGGGTGAACATTAAATTGCATTCCTGGGAGATTATGCTTAACAGGAATGCAGTTTGGGTGATTGGTTCAAGGTGGCATCGTTTTGAAATAGTTGTAAGATCTAAGGCATTAATTTAGAAAAATGAACCTGCAGTAATTGCATGAAAACAAATAACAGCCCTTGGCTTAGATGTATCAAATTGATCAGAGGATATATTAATTTTCTACATGGATAATTCCTGGTATTTTTTTAGTTCAGCCAGCTCTCTCTTAGCCTCTTTCCCCAGTCTTTCAAGCCGTTGCACATGTTATTCCTTCTCTCACACTTAATTTCGTATGAGTTGTTTCACTTATTATGAGCTTCACTGGGTATGAACAGTTTCTGATTGTTCAGTTACAGTAAATATACACTATATTTTGAAAAGTTAATAAACTTCTGCATAAATATATGCATTAACAAATGAAGTCTGCTTTTTCAAGTGTCTGCTGGGATTGATATAGCAGAAAAAAAATATGGGCTTCAAAGTTATTGAGTCAGCATATTACTGTTTTAAATATAAGTTTATCACCTGGCCCCTTTTCTGATCTTTCAGGATTTTCTAATGCCTGGGTCAGTGTCCTCTGTCCAGCACCTGTGCAAGGTTCTGAGGTTTTGCCTCTCTTGAGTTCACCTCATTATTCAATTGTGACCATGTATTCACTGAGGCATCTCACAGGAGATCTCACTGAGACATCAGCATCTCACAGGAGACCACACCCCCAGTTGCTGGGCTCCTGACAACCCTGCCTTTCACCTTCTCCCTCATTAGTCCCATGAGAATTTGTTTATGCCACATAACATGAACATAATGCCAGAACTTTATACCTATTTGGAGGTCCAAGGAGGAGCATTCTTCTGCACTAAGTTACTGAACCACATCATGGTTATGTCAGTGTGATGCCCTGGGGAGAGAGATGTTAAATTGCACCGTAACTCACATGACATGAGTGTTTTCCTTTCAGCGTGGAACTGGGACAGGTTGGCATCAAGACCTGAGAATAAGACGTCCTTGCAGGGCTCACAGCTGACAGACAATACATGTTCCTTAAGTGCTTGGGATCAGAGCAGGATTTAAACCTTCCCACAAGTCAAGGCTATCGTGAGTTTATTTTTTCCCATAGTAAATAAACCGGCAAGCCATTAAGTATGAATTTTCTTGTTCAGACACATTGTCTCTAGTGAAAAGAACAGAGTCTAGTATGGAAAGGCATTACAGAATCTGTATATAAATACAGTTTCTGAGGCATCTGAGTATAAAAGGCCTATACACAGAGATTTCAAGGCTTAAGTTAATAAAATCTTGCACTTCAAATTAGGATGCAACAGGAAGTTGGTCCCCCAAAATACAGCTTGTGAGCAATTTACAGTTAGACTGTCAGGACCTGCTTTCTGGAGAGCTGTCTTAGCATTTCTGTACACACAGCTGTGTATCCTCCTAGGTGCAGGCAGAAAGTACTCACATATGTCACTTCTTTTGCAGGTGGTGAAATCCAATCCCTCTGAAGAAAGTCCTCAGAGAACAATGACGTTATCAAGGCACTATACACTGGGGAAATATTTCAGCAGTCAAAGCAAACCATCACAACCGCAGGACTCTGCAGCAGATTCCCAGTCCCCATATCATGTCCGAGGTCCAATAAATCAAGTGTATTCTGAAATCCTTCTCAGCAGGCTCTGTGCAAGTAAGAGGGATCTTGTTAGCACATAGCCTCTCTTGGCTGAACACCGGGACTGGAGATGTCCCACTGCCTGAGTGACAATCAAAGGACCACAGTGAATTTATGATACACTTCCTTGATTGGATGCACACGCACCAACAGAGTTTGGGACACATGACATTTCTCCTAAAACTTTATGAAATCAAGATATGCCTGGACAACTCTGTGAAGCCAAAATGGAAGACAGAGGGATGCAAAGGAGAGACGAGGGGAAGTTACTTGAACTGTTCCAAAGACTGGAGCAGCTGTAGCTCAAGCAACTGTGTATTAATGATAGGAAAGAGGGAGAAGTATTATACACCTGAACGACTGCGAAAGGACTGCTTCAGCTCTTCCGCACTATCTAGTTTTCTATTTATAGAAACACTGTAATATTTGAATGTATTTAGAAACTGGCTACATTCCATTTTAAAGAGTTTTATTTTATGTGGATGCATTCACTTCACTATCAGACCTTTTCTATTTAGATACTTGGTTTATATAATTTGAAAATGTCTATTAGCTTTTTACTGATGACGCCAAGTTTTGAACTCTAATGTTTTGAATGAAAACACATCCCTTCTTTGACAGAGCAGATGTCTATTTTTTGCATATTCTAAAGCTGATGTAGAGGTAGATTTCTTAGTCTTGAGACTAATTGTCTCGATGTAACATGTAAATACAGTGAATATCTTAGCCTTATTTATGTGGTCCCAGTTTAGGAGAGTAGCCATATGCTGGAAGACTTCTTAGATAGGTGCTTCAGCATCTGGCTTGGCCTATAAATCAAGCAAATATTCTTCCTGCATAGAAGTGACATTTCTTTTGTGCTTTTTTTTTTTTTTAATAAAATACTTGCCAATCTGTTAAACCTGTACCAAAGCACAAGAAAGAAAGAAACTTGCCCTTTGCAAGTACACATAAAGACTCTGGGGTCTGGTTTTTAATGTCATGACAAGTGTATGATGCAATGTGATGGCAGCAGATTATACCGCCTGTATCTTGTGCTTGGCAGGGACAAGACCTTCTATGAACAGTAGTTTCATGCAGTAGTCAAGCTGCATCACTGATGTTTGCAGACCTAGTCTAGGTGAAACCCCAGGGAGAGGCTTCACCACTGAAGGGGGCAAGTGTCTGCTGATCCCCCGCCACAATGTTGACAGCACATTCATTCCCAGCCATGGTGTCCCAATGGAAAACATGGTCCAGGCTTTGCAGCTGGGTGATGGTTAATGGTGACAGAGAGCAAAGCCCCTGCATCCACACAGTCAGTATCCCCAGCTAAAATATTGTGAATTCTTCCTCCTTCAGAGAAGATACATGCAAATATGGTGGGGAACTGTCATGCACTGTGGAGTTTGGCCTCCCTAGATGGTCAGAGTATCATCAAAAAGAGGATCTGGCATATATGATTTAGGAGACTTTCCACTATATTGACCAAGCTCCTAATTTAGGCAGTGACATTACATTTAGTGAGACAGTGTGAATATTTCTGTTTATAATATGCTGCTGCTGTGCTTACAGTAAATATCCCTGAATTTCTTTGTAAGGTTTTCCCTGGAATGGAGCTTTACCAGAAAGATGGGTCAGAAACTGTGCATAAATACTGAAAATGTCAGTATTTGGTTTTGAGCAATATGATTATCTAGGAAATATAATTGTATGCAAATTATGTAATATATAATCTTGAGTCTGGAACTCCAGGACTGCAAAACCTGAAAGTTGAAGGATTTAATATCATGACATTTATGTCACTAAATACAAAATGAAATCAGATGTCTTAGGTATTAAGAAGATCAATTATAGGTGTATTACAATTCTGCTTCTGTGAAGATTTTTTTTGGAGCTCACTTAAATCCACATGCTGTTACTGTTGTTCTGTACACAAATGTTTTCAAGGCATGACCTGGGTTTTTATTTTTTGTTTGGCCTGGTTGTTGTTTTTGTTTGGTTGTTTTTTTAGTTTGTTGGGGTTTTTTTTATTAAAGCCTATTGCTGAAGCATAAGCTACAATGATGAAAAGGAGAACACTGACTGTTATATTGCAGCTGATATCGGCGAATGTGCAATTCATCACTTCTGGTTTCACCACAAAATAGTTTACATGTGCTATACACCCTGATGTCTTAATGTTTTCCAAATCTTAATATTTTTCAAATGTATCAAGTTGAAATTTTCCTATGTGTTTTCTATTTTTCATGTCTATGTACATATATATGTCTGTACAAAGTCATTGCTACAATTTTCAAATGGATCTTTATTTAAAGAAGTTCATTGAGTAAGTTTTTTCCAACACTATATATCATCCATTTAATCTTAGGAACAAACAAAGGCACTGCAGACTAGAACAGGTACCAAGGCATGTTTTTCATTATTCAACTTTAAAATAGATTTAGAATCTCTAGCTATTTGAAAGAGGAGAGCTGAGATTTACATGGAAGCATTGCTCACTCATGCACATGAACAGTTACAGATTAAGACAATAAAAAATCTATTATGTTTGAACTCCAGTCAGAGCACGTGTTGCTGCCAATGTTTTACTTCAGGATTATCACATCTGCTGTGACATTTTACCTGAATAAGCATTAAAGTGTTTCTACTATACTAAGACTGATTCATAATGTAGCATTTTTTTCCCCCCATATGTTTACTTTAGTCCCATTACTTACTATTAAAACAGCAAAGGACCCAATCATCAAGGCTAGTTCCACCTTCTAACACAGACATGAATGGCCCTGGAATTGGTGGTAGGGTTGAAATAATCAGGCTGGGGAACAAGTACACCAAGAAGTGGTGTCTTCCTGCTCAACATCTTCCTAGCAGCACATGGAGTTTAAAGTGGAACCATTTAAGATAAAGGTAGAGGGACCAAAACTGTACTGCAAAAAAGAAATGCCCTGATATACAAAGCAGTAAGCTCAGCTATTATTACATCCCTTTGCACTTCAGCTGAAGTTGCAATAGGATGTACCAGTGTCCAGTGAGTTATAACTCCATGTCTCTCATGTAACTCCATAGATGTTGCACAATTATTTGGCTTTTAGTCTTTCAGGGTAGATGGCTACCATGATCAAGCTCCTCTAAGTGAGGATCTTTGGAATAAATGTCTATAACAAAAAAAGGTTTCCCTATTTGTAGAGAAATGCCTTGACAAGTCAGGTCTGTCATCAGAGATGGCATATTTCAAATAGCCTTCTTTGACAAGAAGTTGCTAGAATGAACTGCAAATGCTATTTTTATATTTAGTATTCATTTGAAAATGTTAATCTTTTAGAATAATCTCTTTCACACCCCAAAATATTAAGCCTTTATTTTTATCTTCTGTGACATATTAAAGGGACATCAAAGTCAATGTATTTGCTTAGTGGGTGGGGTAGTAGGGCATCCAATTACCTCAAAGTTGAAATAACCACTAATAGTTATGCTTCTGTTGCTATGCAGAGCTAAAGAGAAAGCTTTGAAGAAGCAGATACATGTGATATTAAGTTGACTGGAGTCCAGGGATCTTTCAGATTACCTTTTTAGAGTAAAACAATTTTTAGAGGTGTAGCAAGGCATTTGGCATAGAGTCAAAGTTCTAAACAAACCTCTGTAGGCTCACATGAAAATATAGTCTTACCTTTTTATTTGCCTGGTAGCATTGCATCCAGCTTGTTCTACCTCGCTGTTATGGGTATCTGTACCTGATCTACTCATCATCAGCCTCTTTTCAGATGAACTGAGAAGTTTCTGTTTCCTCTTAGAAGCAACTTTCGGAAACCTGAGAGTTGACTGTTGCAAATTCAGGCTGAATCTTCAAGATATTAACGTTACTACCTTAATGTTTTTGTCAATTTCAACAAAAGATTACTGAGTGCAGTAAGGATAGGGCATGCCTCTCCCCTAGGGTAGTGATTTTCTCTGATGAATTTAAACCAGCTTTGTTGTGGCGAGTACTCAGAGTGCACTAGCCCTTAGCCCTTCATGGAGCTTGCCTTTAGCAAGCCAAACCCCATCTTTCAAACTCCACTTTTATTTTTACCTGTGTAAATCTTCAAAACACCAGAAGCATTGATGTACAGTGCCAGCATATCTCTGTATTGGTACTGGTAGTCATCCTGCAGTATTTACTGGTACCTTCACGCTACCCATTGAGTGGAAAAGCCCTGACTACACAGTAAAAAAATGCTATGCATTTTAGCCTTTTTCTGGATGTGGTTTAGTGGTAGTAAAAGCAGTGTTACATGTGTCAGCCTAGGCCAGTACTGAGAGGCAAATGTCCTAGAGAATGACTCAAGCCATTAACGAGAATGGGCAAGATGGGCCTATAGGATCACAACAGGTTCCTGTGGCACCAGTTTCTGCTAAGATGGACTTCCTCATTTTCTAGGTTCATTCATCTGGCTGCTTGGCCAGCTCCCTGGCTCCTGTGGGCAGCCCTTCCCACGGTCCCTTAAACATGTTCAACAGCCTAGGCAAGGAACACCATGTTAAAAAGCCCTGAACTGAAGAGGAAATACATGTTCAAACTGAATCAGAATAGAGGTCTTTGTGAAACACAGCATCTACTCAACATCTCCTTGATTTCCTCCAGAATTGAACCATCTAATGAGCAGAATTAAGTTATTTTCAGATGAATCTCACATAATATAGTATTTTCTCAACTTAGACATACTTTCTTCTACTGTTTGCTTGAGTGAAATAAAGAGAGGAATCTTTGCTGCACATTCCCATCTGACAGAATGAGATGAGCTGGGTTGGCACTGCTGTGGTCACTGCAGTAGGCATTTCCTTCATATGCCTCATTGTAGGGACACATTTCTCACAGCAGATGGTGGGTGTTTTGGATACTGGGATTTTTTAATCTGTCTTGAGCAGTGAGAGGAAATGAGGTTAAAACAGCCGCTGTCTGACTCAGTGACTGACAGAGCCACCTGCCCCAGTGCTGCTATCTGGATGTTAGGAAGACTGGGTGAAGGCAAAACTGATGCACTAAAATCCTTGAGTGAGAAATTAAAATGCCCCAGACACC